AGGGCTGGACAGGGTAGAAATGAGTGAAAATTGGCTCTTTTTTGCTCAATTTTGTCCCCCCCCAGCCCCCAGGAGCATTGTATAAGCCTCCTAAAGGCTATGCATGCCCTTTTTTGACAAAAAACAGGGCTGTTTTTTTTGCAAAAAATGGGCCATTTTTTGCTCATTTTGGCAGGCTCCTAACCCCCAGGAGCACTCTACAAGCCTCCTAAAGGCTATTAAAGCCCTTTTTTATGAAAGATCTGCAGAGTGCAAAATCTTTTTTTAAAAAAAACTTTTTTTTCTTATACTCCGAAAAATACGGTAGTAAGCTTTTAGCCTACTGAAGTCTAAATTCTAGAGTTCATAGAGGGGTTACAAAGATACTCCTTCCCCCAGTTAAATGGGAAAGAAAGAGTAGGCACCTAGATCTTTACAATGCAATATGGGGAGTAAATTACATTATGTGCAGCAAATTTACCAACAAGCTATGTATCAACTCATAGGCATGATGCCATCCTAAATCCTAAATCTAAAGCATTGACTCAGAACAATGAAATTTTGCAAAGCCACATTAATATGGTTATATTCCACTTCTCAGTAAAGATGACAACAACACTAACTGTAAAAGAAAATACGTAGTTCAAAAAGGCCACATAAAACATGAAATCCCCAATTAAAATTACAGCTCTTTGAGATTGTTTGCAGACATTTTGTTATCTGAATATGTAACATATTGCCGCCCTGAGTCCCCCAGGATTGGGCGGCATATAAACCCTTTAAATTGCGAAATGTGAATTGCGAACATCTTCATTGCTACAAGAGAATATAATTTGGTCTCTGTTCATATACATACAGTAACCTGCTCCCACCAACACTGACAGGACAAATTACCGGATATAAACAGAGAGCAAACCCCATTCTCTTCTGGTACTGAAAATATTACCTGCAAGCAAATAACCAAGCTCAACCAAGCTTAGAGAGCACCAGAGACTCCACGGTTCAAATCTGAGTTATTGATATTCTCTTATATTGATAAAATTGTAACTATTAGTGAAACTATAATTAAACATAATTACACAAGTGCCTATTTTAGTTACTCTAGAACTGTGGTTCCCAAAGTGGGCGGTACCTCCCCCTGGGGGGCGGTGGGATGACTTAGTGGGGTGCTAAGAGGCAACGGGGTGGTAGGGGATGCTAAGAGGCAAGGGGGCAGCAGGGGGGTGCTAAGAGGCAAGGGAGGTGGCAGAGGAGTGCTGGAGGTGGCCCCCTTGCAGGGTGCAATTCTACCTGGGGCTCTGTTGGCCACCAGTCAGCTGAGCACTTCCGGCAGGAGTGAAATTGAGTCTGATGTCCCAAAGACTTGAAGGATTTTTCGTTCGCTCACTCGCTCATTCAGGAGGCATACAAGCATGTCAGCTGGGGGGAGGGGAGGCAAAGGGGGGCAGAGAAAGAAGAAAAGAGCTTTTGCCTGCATTTCTCCTCTGATATGACTCTGCGTGTGCTGTACATGGAGAAGAGATGCGGGACTGAATGGCTCTGTCCTTGGGCCTGCATTTCAGGGATTGGGAATTGGCGCTGCATTACACAGCGAGTCCGATGTCACTGCACAAGAGCGCTCGCCTGCTTGCCTGTCTGCCTCTCATGCTTTTATAAATGGCTTTACTTCTGACTCCCTTTCCGGGGCTGTGCTGTGAGCCGCCTCTGTGAGGATTAAGCGCGGCGTGCCTGTGCAATGGAACCACCACCCCAATCCCTCTTGCACCTGCTCCACACAGATGCGCCAGTCTCCCCTATCTCTACCCCTCCCACCTTAGAAATGCAACACAGGTAAACATACGGCAGGGGGGAGAGGCTAGTCCCCCTCTGTCTCCTCACTCCATTTGTAAAGGTGGTCTTAAAAAGCGAGGAGTGGGAGGAAGGGCACTTGGGATGGTTTCTCAAACTTTGAGTTGCAAAGTAATCTCATTGAAGGCTGAAATATAGGGGAGGTTGTGAAAAAGAGATAAGCATTTCCAACATATACTGTTTTAAAAAAGTAAATAAAAAAGTGGTCTAATTACTGTCTAAAGTTGGATATTGTCACATACAGGAAAAAGCAAAGCAAAACAAAATTATGATAGAACAACATCCCATATTAGAAAATGCTGTCCAAATGTTCCCAGTATGCCAAACCAAATGGAGTCCATTTATAACCAAATGGAGTCAAAACACTGCAGTTTTTTTTTAATAAAGTGCCCTTCCTATCTTGATATTTATGCACAGTGAGACCTTTATCACAGATAAATCTTGATAATGGCATCACTCTTATGTTGTGTGAGTATACATGAGCTGCAAGGCTTGTATTTTGCCATAGTATCATCTACAGCTCCATAAGTACTACTAGGGTTTTGACCAGCTGCTGGGCACCAACATATTGAGGCACCAACATATTGACTGATCACGTGGGGCAGTCTAATGCAGTGTTTTTCAACCACTGTGCTGCGGCACACTAGTGTAAGGTGTGCCGTGGGAGAATTACTTTATATATAGTCAATATAGGCACAGAGTTAAATTTTTTTAACATTTTCTAATGGTGGTGTGCCTCATGATTTTTTTCATGAAAAAAGTGTGCCTTTGCACAAAAAAGGTTGAAAAACACTGGTCTAATGAGCATTTCTGAAATGGCAGATATCACAGAACAAAGTCTTCTTCCTTTTCTACCCCCACCCCACCCTGTTATTTTGAAAAAAACAAAAGGCAGCAGTGTGTGTGTGAATGCTCAAGCATGTACTGTATTACACAGAATTTACTGAACAGTGAAGTAGTTACTAAATTTTACTGAGTTTACTAAGTTACTAGTTACTAAGGTTCTTGATAAATGACTATCAGACTTTGAAAACCTGGTATAACTGGATCATGTTCAACAATTTCGTTGAATTAACATTAACTAAAATGTTTTTAAATTGGATTTTGAATAAATGTGCAATTAATTGTTGCAGTTTTGAATTTTACTGTTACTATCTTCCTTCCATCTTACAAACCGCCCAGTCACATGACCCCCCCTAGCCATGCCAACCAAGCCACGCCCACAGAACCAGTAGTAAAAAGAAATAATTCCACCACTGGGTGTGGGGCACTGAGGATCACCAAGGGGGCAATGGACTGAAAAGGTTTGGGAACCACTGCTCTAGAATATGCAATACTACCAGACATTTTATCTATTTTGACTGCAGATAAAACACCAAGTACCTTTTCAGGTTGACAAATTGAAGAGAGTTAAATGTCAAACACTATGCTTCTAACATCATTCATATAAGAAAATTCCTGTGTTCCCAATATTATCACTATTATTCCTATAATAATACTAGATTTTGTCAGATATCACATGTGACTGAAGTTATATACCCATATTTATTTTTCCTTATTTATTTTCATATCACTAGTCCTCAGGAAAGTCATCAAAATGAAAAGGGCACAAGTCTTTGGAATCTGCCAGCAAGCACTTTTGTTAACCTGTAGAGTTAAGAAAGAAAGCAGGTATTAGAACTATTATTGTGTAGTTCAGATGTAAATCTCTCTGACCTTTGCAGTTGCTTATTATGGGTTAAGTATACAGAGAACTACAGATTTATTTTTCATCATTCTGGTGCAATATAATGTATGATAATATGAAAAAAATTCTGAAAATTATCCTATCACAAAAAAGGGAAGGCACAATAGTGTAATTTTTCTGCAAATCATTGGACTCATAAGAACTACTCTTTTTTGTAGCCTCTGGTGAAGAAAAAGTCACAAACTAATGGCAAGGTGTATTCAGGTGAATTCGGGATGAACATGATACTATCATCCACATGTTTTTTTTAAAGTGTCTGTCATAAGCTCAAGAGGGGGGAATCTGTGTTTTTTTTAATATCCTCTTTGACTACTCATTTTTCCAGAACTTTTGTTACTGCACGAGTCAAAAAGAGGGCTGCGAAAACATCCTGGACATAAATTGTTTCAACTCCTACCCTCAAAATGATGCTATAGAGCACTGCACACCAAGACAACTAGACACAAGAATCGTTTCCCCCCCGGAACACCATCACTCTGCTAAACAAATAATTCCCTCCCCACTGTCAAATCATTCACTAAGGCTGCATTACTATTACTACTAGTCTTCTCATTGTTCCTATCACCCATCTCCTCCCACTTGCAGGACTGTAACTGTAACTTTGTTGCTTGAGTCCTTAAAATTTATATTGATATTGATTGTTTTCTGATTGCTTATGACCATCATTAAGTGTTGTACCTTATGATTCGTGATGAATGCATCTTTTCATTTTGTGTACACTGAGAGCGTATACACTAAAGACAAATTCCTTGTGTGTCCAATCACACTTGGCCAATAAAGAATTCTATTCCATTCTATTCTTCTATTCTATGTATTGGAAGAATAACTTCTCAGTTGCTTTCATTTACAAATCAAGCTGAGCAGAGGGCACATGTGCAAAATCCCTTGCTATGGTTCACAAAAGGGAGAGGCAATGCAGGCCCGGCAGGTTTCTCTTTACATGTCTGAATACTGAAATTGAAATGACCCTGCTGTACTCTTTCTGAAGGGCCTTGTTTCTGCCATCATAATAAAAAAAAAACATTCCACAGATTCTCATTTAATTTCACTGTGTAATTTCTCAATGGAACAAATGCATGTAATGTAAATAAACATTATCCATTTGGTGTGTGATGATTTGCTTTCCTCCTATATAAAAGAAAATAATATTTAGGAAGGGAAAAAAACCTCAATCTAGAAAAATATCTTAAGAAACAAAATGAAATCTTGTCCTGATTACATCTCCGTCAGTATTGGCTAGTACAAAAAGGAGATTATAGCCACTATGTCAATAAGTTAAGATACCTGGGAAAACTATCAGTTAACTATGAATGACTTGCCTGTTCACATAGAAAAATATTGCTTACTCATTACATGACTATAAAACATTCATTTGGTAAGTATCATTGAGTGTAGTAATCCATTAAACTGAAACAAACTTACATTAAATAATATATTATGATTCAAATTCAAATAACATAATTAATTTTGAAATAAAATAAATTATCCCTCATTTTCACATTTCCAGGATGTAAAATTTTAGAACCATCTTTACCTTCATTCAATATCTGTCTCAAGTATATCATCAGTTTTCATTGGCTGCTCATTATCACAAGTCCCGGATTCCTCCTGTTTCCTCTTTCTACGCTTTTTCCGACAATAACTTTGAAAGGAAGTAAAAAATTAAGTCTATGAGTTACAAATTCATAATGCAAATTTGTTACCTATCATCAGAAATTATTTAGTCTAATCAATGTTTGCATTTGTGTATATATAAGGTAAAGTTAACGGTTCCCCTTACACATACAGGTGAAACGCGAAAAATTAGAATATCGTGCAAAAGTTCATTTATTTCAGTATGCAACTTAAAAGGTAAAACTAATATATGAGATAGACACTTATATGCAAAGCAGGATACTTCAAGCTGCGATTTGTCATAATTGTGATGATTATGGCTTACAGCTCATGAAACCCCCAAATCCATAATCTCAGAAAATTAGAATATTACATGCAATCAATAAAACAAGGATTATTCATAGAACAATATCGGACCTCTGAAAAGTATAAGCATGACCAAGTACTCAGTACTTGGTTTGGGCCCCTTTTGCAGCAATTACTGCCTCAATGTGGTGTGGCATGGAAGCTAT